GCAACCCTCCCCAGCCCCTTTGCCGCCCCACCTGATGAGACTCTTCAATGCCGAGATGGGAGAAATGCAGGCCGTGTGCCTCACAGCCTCCTGCTAAGGTTTTCATAAGTATCGTGGTCTCAGCTCCCACCTGCATGTCAAAGGCAGCGCAATAAAAGCAAGCTTAACTGCAGTCATAGTGAAAGTGGTTGTGCTGAGGGGAGCCCAGAGCATCATCTACATCAGGGAAAAGGAGCTCAATGGGACCAGCACAGGGTGGGGGGGGTTGCCCTTTCAGAGACTTGAGGAGCCAGTTGTTATCAGGAAGATGGAAAAAATAAAGACTCAGTTTGCTTTTGAGACACTCACCAAAGAGCTGCACCTGCATCGGTGCCACTTTGAGAGGCCGCAGATGTGACGAGGGATGCAGGACCAGCTCCGGGAGCGCATCCTCAGGTGTGTTTGGAAAACCAACCACATGACCACAACCTCGCTACTGCAAACGAAGGCCATGGTCTTTCACAACCTGTCCTGGCTCCGGGGTGCAGAAAGCAGCAAACCCCGAGACGGGAAAATGGATTGCACTGACCAGAAACTAACAGTAACAATGACGACAGCCGGGAGAGGTTTTAATGAAAAATCTATGGCGAGTAGGATTAAGGCAGTACAGAGAAGTATTGTCTAAATAAATCAGAAACAGAAGACATCTGAGGAATACCAAAGACCGCTATTCAATAGGAACAGCCAGTATCGATGTTCACCACCGAGATCTCCGCCAGACAGGCTGCCGCGCGGCACACGGATCCCAAAGCGATGCCACGCTACACTACGTTGCTTCGGCTTTCCCACCTGCCTCTCTACAGCCGCTGCTATGAGGAGGATGTCAGGCTCGCTCCTTCCTGGTGTGCTGACTACAAATGCCACAGCCTTGACCAAAGCATTGACCCCGAGCTCCACTTGTCAGACTGAAATATACCCTGCGTCCTGAAACGGCCCCCACCAAGGAGGCACGGCTGTGTCCTGCCTATGGTATACCACCCTCCTCGTGCCAAAACCGCTCTGCGGCGCGATGCAGTAAGGTCTCCCAGCTCATCCCTGCAGGCTCGCACCTCCCGGCACCGGAGGCGGGCTTCACAGGAGGTCATAGTTGGAGGCAGGAGGACTCACCCGAGGTCCAGCCCCACGGCCTCCTCCACTCCAGCTGTTTATGCCAAGAGGAGGATGAGATGGCTCATCTTCTACATAGACAAGATTAAATGCCAATTCTCTCTGCATTCCCAACTCTACCGAGAACACACCAGCGTGCCACAAGCGCCGTGCACTTCCCTGCTAGCATCCATCCTGTCGTCACGAGGTAGCCCCCGAAAAAAAAGAAGGGAGACAAAACCCCCCTCTGTCTTCCTGCCATCTACGCTCTTATAAACCCTTGTTAACGGCTGTTGCAATGAACCAATGTGAGAGACATATTAATAGCAACACTAAAAGACACATTTACTGTTGACTGCAACTCCCTGGCAGAGTTATTGCCAGGTCACTAGGAGAGAAGGCTGGGCCCCGTGGTAGCGTAATTAAAACCCGATGGAATACGAGGACAAAGAATCAATACTCTCTCCAGGCAACTTTTACTTTGACTAAATACAAATATAAATTCATTGACCTGAACACAGTTGCTAACTGGTCGCTACCGCCCACTCGCTGGCCAGCTGGTAGGGGTGAGGCATACCGCTGCTGCCGGGACGGTTGCCTCCTCAAGAAAGAAGGGCCCCCAACCTCACTTTTGAGGCTACGCTTAGTGCCAGGAGAGCTACAAGAGAAACAAGGCATCGCTCCCGTCCCTGCTCACATATGCGGCCAGGAGCGAACATATCTTTGGAAAACCGCTCCCTTCCTCCCAGAGCAGAGCAAAGGACTATGTGTTATTTGCCCTCATAGAAAGCTGACTCTTCCCTAGCGTGCAAGCACAGAGACTCCCAGTCCTTGGCTGTGCCGATGGTGCCGGTGGGCAACGCTGCTCGGTCCAAGCCGCCAGAAAAAAAACCCAGACGTTTTAGCTGCCGAGGAACTGCATTGGAGCTGAAGCAGGGACAGAGCACGGAAGGATTTGCTTCTCTGGTCACCGTCAACAGGACAGTGAGGTGGCACTGACAGAGGGATTTTCTCGGCAGGCTGACTTAAGCAAACCGCGTGGCTTGAGCTTAACACATTGAAAGGGAAATAGAGAAACTTCTTAGCACAGACCACTTGACCCGGGCCTGCACAACCATGCATCCCCAGCTCCTCTCAGGCTCCCCGCCTCAGCTGCTGAGAAGCGACATTGCTGAGAACCACGGTCATTGCTGCCGTCAGAGCAATTCAACTGGACTTGCTCACGCCAGGGTAGAGTTTTTCCCAGCACAGTTCGGAATGTCTCACCACCGGATAGTCACTCTGGAGGCAAGTTTTCTCTCGCCTTCACCTACCCAAGCCCGGCAAGCACCTGCACCGCAGGCTCTGCACCGAAAAAAGGGCGAGGGGAGTGGGCGTCAAGTGCCGCTGCCTGTTCACCTAATTTCCTTAGCTGCAAAGCACTCGGATACTTCACTGGTGTTGACTGGATGGATTAGCACGATTAGAGAGTACATAGGCTAAACAGATTAAACTTTGCAGACGGACGGCTCGCATGCAACTCAAAAAGGGGGAGAAGGAGAGGCCCAATGAAGGGCAATGGAGGGGATGCTCCCGGCGGACCTCCGCTCCCTTCTTCCTGAGGCAAGCACTCCCCTATCCGCTGTAGGCCGGTGCATGTGGTGCGGGGACCCTCGACGCGCTCCCACCGAGACTGGGCAAGAAAACCATTGGGATGGGTGGCCACGATCAAACCCTACCTCCTCCAAATGAGAAGGATGCCTAAATACATACATATCTGTGTTGGGGGCTTCTCGGAGACGTGTCGAGGCCAAGAAATTTTTCAGATTTGCTCATTGTGGAATCAATACCCATCAGCTGTTTGAAATTAAAGGGAAGATTAGGTCTTGGTTTTATACACGCTTTATTGTATTCCAAGAGCTTTCTACTCAGCCAGATAAATCTTCTTTAAGAGGATTAGGAAACTTTCATTATCTTTATCTAACCTGAATGAACACTAACTCTGAAAAATTAATCTAGAGGCCGGACAAAAGCTGGTAGCCAGTGCAAAGCCTCAAGGATCCGGAGGCGGCGTCCGCCAGAGCGCTACAGGCACCTTGATCCCCTCGTCAGAGCCGCCTCAGGAACGCTGCTTTGCGCTCCAACAGCATCTGCTACGCTGACACGCTCGCCTACGAAGCCCTGTGCCGAAAGCCCTTCTCAGCCATGCAGCAACTTGGACATACTCGCACGATCTGCCCTCTCTCCCAAATCCACGGAGCCTCACGCTGTTGGAGTCTGCTCTTTCACTGTGCCCGGCAGCGCTTTGCTTTCGGCGCTCCCGAAGCATCTTCAGACGCGTGCCCGAGTGCCTTACTAATGCCTCCCTGACACGGCCAGCTGAGCAACGCAGTCCCGAGCAGTGGAGATGGGTCAAATTCACGGCAGAGACAGGAAAGGGGGGGAGAAGGAAAAGCATACCAGCCCCCAATTTCAGGTCTCAGGTGTCCTCTGTCCGTCCTCTCCCTGGCATGGCGGTCACTTGTCCACAGCCCTGTCCCTGTGCCGCTCAGTCCCTGAAGCAACGGATGTTGGTCTGATCCCTACATCTCCAACACCAAGAGGGCCTCCAAACCCTTCACAAGGTCAGACAGCCTTCCATATCAGCAATAGCATGAGGCCCGTTAAGACCTACCTTGCACGATGAGATGGACGCGAGAAGTCTTCGGGTGATTGTCTGTCTGCACGGAGCAGGTGTAGGGGCCCTCATCGTAGATATCCACATTGTGTATCTTGATGCTGTACTGGGTCTTGGTGTTGGAGAGGATGACCACGCGGTTGTCTATAGACCACTTGTCATTGCCGGCGTACAGGATGGTGCTGCGGTTCAACCATGCTACCCGCGTGACCCTGTCATCCACGGTACACCTGGAAGGGAAGAGACAGAGGGTCACAAACCCAGAACGAAACTCACAGTGAGCATCCCGGCTCCCAAAAGCGGACGCAAGTGGGACGGGAGCTGCAGCGCCAGCTTCCCGTCACATGTGGCCCGACAGCTGGCACAGACATGGCACATGTCGCGGTCACGCTATCCTGCCCCCGCATCCCACATCCGCCCGTCACCTGAGATTTCACAGAAACAGCCGATTCACCCGAAAAAAAAAAGTCTTTTCTTTTCTACAGAGCTAGGGAGCAGCAAACAAAAATCCCATTACGTTTGACCTCCGCAAGTCACGCAGACTTTCCGTACCTTCTCCTCTCACCCACCTCCACCGCCTCCCCCCCTCACTGTGTGCTGAGAATTTCAGATGAAGCTGTAAAATTTGCTGACAGTCCAGCTTGTTGGCATGGCCCTCGAGCCATCCCCGAGGTGATATACGCGCTCGCTGCCGGGGGAGAGGGGCTGTGGCACAGGCGCGGGGAGAGGGGAAGAAGAGAAATGGCCAGAGACAGCGAAGCCAGCGTGCGGGGAAGAGAGGGGAACATTCAAAAAAGCAGCTGTAAATCCTACAAGTGCCTTGAAAACACAACGCGGTCGTTTCCATTCTTTATTTCCTGCCTGGCTCCCACCCTCCCTGCTCCGAGATGCGTGGGGACTCGGCAGCTCTAGTCTGCGGCGCTGACTTAGGCTTTGCAAAGAACAGAGGGGGGCGAGGGAGAAGGGAATGAAAATGTTCCTGAAGAACACGGTTTTTTCATTCCGTTCAATAGATTTTTCTCCATCTGTTTACTTGTGGCCGCCTCTGCTGCCGCCACGGCACCCGCAGCAAAATCACCAAGCATTTGGTTAAATTAAGAGCCCAGCATTTCTTGGGAGCTTCACCTTTCCCACCTGAGGACCATGGCAGCGGAGCTTTCGTGTGAAAGCAAACCGGGAAAATCAAGCTAGGTGGAAGCTTGTGCCGGCAGCAGCAGCGCTATTGCGGCTTTATGCAGCTGAGATCTTAGGAAAAGGCATCCACAGCGAATCAAGAAACTCGTGCACGTCGCGCTCTGCACGCCTGTAAATTCAGAGACAGGCTGGCAGACTGTCCCCGTCCCCGCCGCAGCACCTCTCCTACAGAGGCTTTCGGGGTGTTATATACCTCCCTTGCTGGGATCACAGCGCGTCACCTCGATCGAGATTATTAATTGGGTGGAGGGAAGGGGCGATACTTGGCATGTTTGAGGGCCCCCCCGGGCACTGGGTTCAGAGGAACGAGCCGTATATCCTCCCCCAAACAAGTAATTTTCCCCTTGCAGGAGCTGTACATCTCCACCAGCCGCACGGCGTACGGACGCCGGGAAAGACGGATGGTCCTCTGCACCGGCCACGGCACTGCCGGTGTGCCGGGAGCCCGCCCGAGTATCGGATGCGTCCCGGTGCCCACAGCAGTGCCGGCTCTGCTCTGTCAGACCGAGGCAGCCTCGTGCCGGTGGACAGCATCATCCTTGTCGGGATGCCAAGCCCCCGCTTCGTTCAAATTAACCAGGGGAGAGCTAAGTGCAGCCGAGTGAAGTTCGACCCTGGGGGATTCCAGTCTAGTGGACTATTACTGCTGTCTCACTTCATTATAATGAATAATAAAGAGATACTTACACACGGCTTCTGTAAATTATTCATTGCGTGCACTGAAAAATCAGGGCAGCAATATGTAAAACAGACAACTTGCATGTCTGCGCTCACATAAATATCCAGACTACAGCCTTGCGAGGTACTCTCGGGTCCTCTCATTAGGGGTGAAGCACAAAGACTAGGGTTTGAAGCGGTAGGGATGAGGAGCTTGTGCCGTCACCAGGCACGTTCGACCACCGCCACCTGGCTTCGGCTGGCGCCTACCAGGCGCACTTCCCAGGTAGTTTTGGGGCCAGTCTGGGACCCCCATAACTGGGGTCACTCGTTCTGCATTCACGGCTCTCATGTCGACGGCTCAGGGATGCACCTGCACAAGTGCACAGGGATGCCCATAACCTGGGTGGCCATGCTTACGTGAGGAAGGGCAAGGACAGCATCATGCTCCCTTGCCCATGGTAGCACCCTCAAAACCACTTGGAGCAAATGGGCAGGAGCAACTGGGAGACTCCTCCTTCTAACAAACTCCTGCCAAGAGCAAGGAGGCAAAGGCTCCTTCTCCCCATCCCTCAAGCTCATGCTTCAGTTTCTGCCACTCAATAGCTACTTTGAGATGAAGTCCCTTTGGCTCTGCTTGCTGAGCATAGTGCTCCTCTCCCCCAGAGCCTGGGCTGTCCCCGACCTCGCCTTCCCGCTGCCTATTTTCTCACGCCCTGGGAATCGGTGCTTCGAAGGCAAATACTGACCGACAACCTGATGTCAGGAGCGCCCCGCCGGTTTCTTTCCCTGGCTCAGAAACCGATCTCCATGAGCTGCTAAGCTGCTAGCGCTCCCTTGTCTGCCGAGCTGTCTTTGCTACCTATTTCCAATTGACCAGGATTATGATAATGTCTCCAGTAAGCAAACAGGTAAAGAGACTTCTGCAAAGTGTTTAGATAAAGCAGACAAGCTCTGACAAAGCTGGCTAATAAAGCGGGCCAGGAGGTTTTCCCTTGAAGGGATCTAATTAAGAACAAAGACAAACCCCCATTAAGAGTCTCCTGAAGGCGCCGTATCCATCTCCAGAAGAAACCCTGCCTTACGAGTCCAGAAGGGACAAAAGACAATAAAGCACCTGTCAGACGGGAGGGAAATAAACCCGTCCTGGCTCCACGGTTTACCTGGAGAAAACCCATTGGTGAGGTGGGGAGAATATCTCGGGACCGCTCAAACATGAGTCTCTGGCGCCTACCTCACCCTGGCTCCCCCATGCTGCCCTTCTTCTTGCAACACAACCCATCCCATCTGGTCCTCCATCTCTGTGTTCCGCTTAGACTCTCACTGCCTTCTAGCAGAGACTTTTCACCATCTGCAGTCCATCGGCTGCCTCCCACCATGACCGCTCTCCACCAGAGCGGCTTCCCGGGGAGCCTCGGATGCTGGGCTTTGCTCACAACAGTACACGTGACCTCTCGAAGGTGCCACCTCCCGAGACCCCTATCGATCCCTTCGCTCTATGGGGAGATGAGAGCTGCCGCAGGGATCCTGGCACTCTGCTGGAGATGAGGGTGATGAACCCGAACGTGGCAACACGAGAAGATGCATGAGGGAGGGAGTTGGGGGCAGCGGCGCTGTGCCGCTTCCCCTCTAATTGCCCCTATTCCTCATCCTTAAATGCTAATTTTGAAGTTTGCCGAGGAATTGTTTCACTTAGTGTCAACAATACAGATAACTCTGCTGAAGCGCTCGTTGTGTTCGGCGGCACAAAGTGGCCGTCTCCCTCCTCCCGGACCTATTAGGAGAGACCCCGGCGTCGCTCCCACGGCAGGCCCCTGCCCAGCCCCATCAATGACCCTGACAGCGCTTCTCCTACATGCAGGACGTGACGTTACACTTGATGCCTTCGTCCCCCACCTTTCCTGGTCCACATCGCGGACCTTTCCTATGCTGCTGACTTGACCCAGCAGGAGGGTCGAGCCTTGGGCTGCACATGCGTCCAGGGTTGGCACAAATTTTCTGGCGCTAGTTTGGAGGGATAAACAGCGCGTGAAGAGTCGGAGGCATAAGGCAAGTCTTGCCAACCCCTCTCTGTGGGCCCACAGAGGGATGGGATGCTTGGGACCCCAAAACATTGATGCGCATCCCAAGGGGTTCAGGAGATCAGTTCATGCCTGCAGAGCCAAGACCACTGGTTCCTGGCCAAGCTGAGAGGCTCAGGGCAGACGCTCGTCTTTGGATCAGCCTAAAGCCCTCTCGCTTCCTTATGCAAACCAACAAGGCTCTACTTTTAAATACTTCTACGGCCCTTCAGCCCCAAACCACTTTTCTCTCCAGTAGGCGATGCATCTCGTCAAAATGACAAATGGAGGTGCCAAAACTAGTAGCAAACTGGCTGGCTGACCCAGTTTTCAGTGGCTAAAATAGCTCACCCCAACCGGGAGCAAAGCCTCTCGACAGCAACGGGGTGGTGCTTCGCCCTGGGATGTTTCCAACCAAAAGTACCTGTCACAGGGGCAGAGCGAACACCCCGGCACTCTTATCTTTGAGAAGAAATTGTTAATTACAGTTGCCGGGGACTCCTAATGTGGTGTTCTCCTTCGCTTCCCGTACTCACCCCAGCTACAGAGTTAATGGGCTCCGAACGCCTTTTATTCAGGGCGGCTGGAGCAAAGGCAGAGGAGATTTATTTGTAATCATCGGAAATAAACACACTTCCTCAGAAGTAAACACAAAAGAACAGAACCTGGCTGGGCTCCCACTTCGTTACAGATGCAAATTAGAAGCAGGCCATCAAAACACGGCGGCTCCTCTAATCCTCTCCCAACAATGTAAACCGTCACATTAGCCGCGGGTACAACGGCATCTGCTGCGTGTGACGGCGGGTCTCGCACAATAGTTCCCGGAGGGCAGGACTGTGCCGTCTGGGCTTCCGTCACTGTCATCCCTGATATTTATTCTCAGTGCGGAGGGTAGGAGGTACTTTGTCTTCATTCCTAATCCCTTCCGCTGGCACCTCATCTCCTCTCCGAGGCACCCACAGTATGCGTTCTCCCAACTCTTCCCTCCGTCCCCGTGCCCGGATGCGAGGTGCGCAGCCCCACAGCATCCCCAAGCCGTCCTAGTGCCCCAAGGATGGAGGGGATCTCAGATGTGCTATTTGGCATCGCCCAGCACGACCGCCTCCTGTCCAGCCCTCACTGCCCTCTCGGCAAGTCCCGACTTGTAGCTGCAACCGTCCCCGCCATTGGAAAACAAAGAGCGTGGGATGCACAGGGAGCTCGGGCAGCCTAAACTGTTCTCCTTTTTCCCCACAACATCCCTGTCTCCACGCCGCTCAGCACACTGCCTTCCACAAAGCCACATGCCACTGGCTCTCACTCTCTGCAAGCTTAATTAATTGCCCGGTCCCACTGTTACCACACTGCTCCAATTCCCCAAGCACTCCCAGTGCCGTTCAAACAAGCTCCAGACTGCCGGCAAACCCTTTCCCCACCAACCGCTCCCTCCCCAGAGCCCACCGAGGGCTACCGGACCCTCCTGTCCTTTCCAGAGGCTCGGGGTTTGTCGGGGAGGGTTTCTCCCCGCCGGTTCTCCCGCAGTGGCAGTTTGCCTGCTCGCTGTCAAGCACCAGAATAGAAGCTGCTCCCTGTGAAAAATCAAAGCCCAACTTGATACATTAGAGGTTGCTAAATATAAAATATCCATCTGCAAAGATAATAAGCCTGTGAGGGCAGGGGCTGTCTAGTTGCTCCATTTCAGATCGTTTAATGGCGTTTTGGTCCATGACTGCAGCTCCCAGACATTAGAATGATAACAAGATGATGAGGAGGGTGGAGCTGTCTGCGCGAGGCATTGGAAGTCAAGACAGCGCTCATCATGTGGCCCCCCCCGAGGCGGGGGGCCACGCCACACAAAACACCACCAGCTGCTTTGCACCCAGCATTTGCAGGGCTTCGAGTGGCCTCCGTGACAACCTGGTGGATGCAAAGATTGAGCCTGATGCTTGAGTTAATGTCAGCCTGGGGAGGGGGTCTGTGCCCGCCTTTGGCCTTGAAGGGGCTTGCCTTGCACTGGCATCCCAGCCTGGGAACCACGGATCCGGGTACCGCTGCAACCCTAAGGCCAACGCAGGCAGAGCTGTGCCACAGATGGTTTAGAAGTGGATTGTAGTTTGCACGGGAAAGGGACACGCGGCGAGGTGAACTGCCGCACGGTGCCCCCGCTGCCGCTAACTGACCGCATCTTCTCCCCAAAGCCGTTCGCAGGATTTTCTGAATTAATGCTCCACATCGAGCAAATCCAGAAATCACAG